GGTTAGGGTAAGGGTTAGGGTTAGGGTTAGGGTGAGGGTTAGGGTAAGGATTAGGCTTAGAGATAGGGATTTGGTTATATCTGACGCCACAAACAACACAACTAGCCGATCACGTGATCACTTCTCCTCTACCCGAGGAACTACCCTATTTAATGATAATGGCGAGCGCGAATTCATCACGCAAAAAACGCGTTGGACTTGCCGACTTACAAGACAACGTTAATGTCGGTCGCTAATACGTAGATTTTGTCCAGAGTACAGCCAACTTTGGTCCTACAATTAGATTTGTAAGCATTGTAATCTGGAACGATCGTTTTAGTGCAAATTATATTGACATTGTGCGAGACATTGTTGTGATCACAGCAATATTTTCATATCAGTGGCATAATCTTTAAGTTCCGAATTACCACATCGCAGTATAAGAGTAAAAGGTTCCGTGATAATATTTTTGTACATATCCATGAATGTTTAGTAAGTCGGCAAGCCGTGTTTATAAACATTAAGTTAATTTCCATTATCACCGCCTGTATCTTGTCACGTGACCAGTTTCCATGGAAACCAAATAGTTTAAAAATATCGGCAGTTGATTTTCAACATCTCACCCAAAAATAAGAGTCGTAGTGTATTTTGTTAATTTTTAATTAATTTTTAAAGATTTTTTCTATTTTCCCACTCCTTACGAAATTGGAGCCAGGCATTAATGCACCTGAGAAACTGCCAAAGGGCCCATTTCCTTGCCCTCCCCTTAGGATAGTATGCGATCGCCGAAGGTGTGAGCCGAGTACCGCAGGCACGAGTTAGCTATAGGGGGGGGGGGGGTCTGGGGGCATGCCCCCTCACGAAATACGAAATTTTTAAAATTTGCGTCTCTGATTTTTTAAAAAATCCAATGGTGAAATTTGTTATTAATTAATTGCAATTTATTAATTGCACGCTAAGCATTCAAACACAATATAAGTTTAAGTATGCTCACCAACAATTTTTGTTTTTTAAACTTCTTTTCAATGTTGAACTCATTTACTCCGTACAGGTCATTGGACCCTGGCTTTGGGGAAATAGAACATTTTTTCTTCAGTGGTTGTGCAGCAGAGGAAGGGGCCCAGTGGGGAAAATGCCCCACCAGTCCATGGTACGTATTAAAAATGCTTTGATTTCGTGGGAGAATCCATGCATCTTTTATCGCCGTTGAGGTAGCCTATTTTCAAAAGGGAGCTAGGCTATGCCGGTTCTGAAAATGTAATTTTTGGTTCATTAATGACGACAAAATATGATCATATTGATTTTACCTTGGTTCCAGCTGGCTTTAGTTCGGAATTCACATATATGATTCTTATGAGAACTAGAAAGATAAAAAAATAAAAATTGTAATACATCATTAATAATCATTGACTCTCACTAGAAATGCAAGCCCCCAGCCCCATAATAAACCGAGTACTGAATAACTGCTCACCTTTTTGCCCAGGTTTATAAATTGGTTTGTCTGTTTGAATAAAGATTGTATCTGGGGGAGGAGCTACATAGGAAATTTCTCTACGTGACGTTTGGACGCCACAAACAGTAGCTTCGACGCCATCGACATCAATCTTTGGCACCTACAATGGGGCAGAAAATAATCTAATTCTCACTGTATATAGAGCATGAATTCAAGGCTTCAGTATCACCTCCATCAGCAGGCCGTTATGTTTTATCTGCGTGTGTACCTTTCGATTGGACAATGATCAATATTTAAGTAACGCGCAAGCAAAACTTGTCATCCAATCTGCATGTCAAAGAAAATATTTGAGCGCAAATCAGGGAATTGAAGAAGTCAAGTAAGGTACTCTGAGTGTATGGCCAGGCATATATTTTTCAAGCTTGCCCGGTGTGGATATACACTCAGAGTAACATCACAAACATCATATTATCCGTTTTCACATTAGAAGACGGACAAGTCGTCTAGACGAACAAATCGTCTCAAAATCGTCTTTTAGTCGGACAAATCACCAGATGTGAAAACGTGTCGGACAAAATTTTAGACGAACAAGTCGTCTGAATTTGTTCGACTACTTGTCCGTCTGTGAAGACATTTTTGAGAGACGATTTGTTCGTCTAGACGACTTGTCCGTCTCTAATGTGAATAGGGCTATTCACCTGAATACATAACACCAACACAGAAAAAATCACTCCCATGGAATTCAAACGACAAAGAGATTTTCGCCATGTTTAAATTTAAATTTATAATCATTTGTCACAACACAATCATTACGCATACATCTACAATAAACAGAGGACACAAATGTGACTGGAGAAAAGAACAGGCCCATTTGCGTCTCAATTGGCACCTGACTCCAACATTATAACTAGACTTTGCTGTTTGTTGCACACCAAGCACAATGACTTGCCTCGTGGTTTCGTGACGAAAGTACTGCAGGTATACATAGAAATTATAGTCATTCGTCTGGGATGATATTTGCATTGCAAACAAGCAAAATCCTTTGTCAATGTAATCCAACTTGGCGACGGTGACGTCAAGTCAAGTCAAGTTTATTTTGCTCAATAATTTTACATGGAAAAAAATATAAATACGTATACAATTATAAAGTTTACATTTTTTTAAATTAAATAAATATATTATAATTATAATATAGAGCCTGAAGGCTAAATAAACTGTGAAGTTTTCGAGTTAGTCTGGACCAGTTACTGTTAATTTTTTATTTAGAAAAAGAGGAAAGAAAATCCAAAAGGAAGAAAAATCACACTATTTTAATATATTAGGTTCCAGAAGGAGGTAGTAACTTGCACACGACCTATTACGGGAAACCTTTCGAGGAAAATCTGTGCGTCCGCATGTATAAGGTTTATTACGGCTTGTCAAAAATGCACGTACTTGATCAATGATCGAAGAGCCCTCGCTCGAAAAGTCGAAATTCTGGCTTATACTTTTCAGGTAGTTAGTATCTCTCTCAACTCGTAGCTGCCAAGTTACCGTAGCAACCATGGCCGGATTTTGAGGGGAGGTGTGGAGAGGTGCGCACCTCCCCTGAGATCATTTTGCACCTCCCCTGAGAATTTTTTCACCTCCCCTGATGAGTCACGCACCCGATACCCAAAGTGAAAATTTGACATTTTTTGATTGCTTAGAGTCTACCCTTCGTAAGAAAGTTTTTCTGTAAAATTGAAACAGTGATAGCCATTCATCGCCTCTATAGCCGCGTTCACACTAGCGGCCCAGGCCTGGCCTGGGTCTAGGTGTGAACGGGTTTTACCTGGCCTGAACCTGGCCTAGGCCTGGCCTAAGTCAAGAAATCCAGGCCAGCAAATGTAGGTGGCCTGGACCTGGCCTTGGCCTGGGCCTCGATCATCACTGGTGTGAACGGGTTTTTCCTGGCCCTGGCCTGGGCGAGGCCCCGTTACCATCCCAATATCTGCCCACGATAAAAACTGGTCATATGATTGTCATACAATTGGAGGGAAAAACATTCAAAGCGCGAAATTAAATACTTTAGTGGAACACAAGGACGTTTATATTGACGCCTGATTGCTTTGGCCTGGAGTTGGGCGTCAAGCCAGTGTGAATGCGTCACAATTGGCCCAGGCCAGGTCAAGGCCAGGTTCAGGCCAGGCCTGGGCCGCTGGTGTGAACGCGGCTATATATGTAAAGTACCCTTTTAATGCAATGTTTCGAAAGAAACTTTGTAGTAATTGTAATGAAGGGTAAAATTGGATGAGTCGTACAGTCATAATTCATAAAACACTGATACATATGTACACTACATGCATACGTCACATCGTTGACTTTGGCCCGTTCTAAGCCCTAACTTTCCATGGGGGTTGTGAGCTAGACCGCTGCACCTCCCTAAATTAATGTTTTTTCCACCTCCTCCACTACTTCCACCAAAATCCGGCCTTGGTAGCAACCTACACGCAATTAACTCACCTTGAGTTCCAACCTTCCCTCTTCATTGGGTCGAAAGTGACCCTTTGCTCGGCTAACGACCGGGTCGGCGAACGAATTTTTATACAATTTTAATTCTACATCACATGATATGTTGCCAAAAATATTTATACCAATATTCACTGTCGTTCCACCTCGAAACACTCGTGGGATGACGATTAAGTAGTCTTGCTCATTGATTTCACCAGACTGACCGTTGCTGTAAAAAAATTAGAGAAATATACAGTCTCAACTTCAGCATGTCATTGGGCGTTAATTACTCAGTACATGAACGCAATTTTTTTCATAATAAAAAAGAACTGACTTTTGGCTATTGAGAAAATACGAGTCCGACAAAAATTGTTCGTCGAAATAGCATATTTTCACCGCTGCGCCTAATTAAAGCAGCGCATAACAAAATGAAAACTAATTAATAACGAATGTGTCATTTTAGCAATGAAGTGAAATTCATCAACTTAAGTCCTAAAGGGAGTTAATTTTCAATAGTTTTAAACCCAATTCTCAACAGTGAAAATATATATGCACTTTCGACCAAACAATTTTTATCAATTGTGTAGATCTCTACTGTATAATGATGAACAACATGTCATTCAACAGCCAAAAACCTGATCTTTATGTACTATTTAAAAAACGAGCAGGAGTGTTTTATTAGGTTTAAAGCGCGCGAGTGGCTTTAGACCTAATAAAACACGACCTGCGAGTTTTTTAAATGGCTTCAAAAACGTTTGCATAATAAGTCAAATCTTTATATAAAAATGTTTATATAAAAATCTTTATATAAAAATCTTTATATAGTTTGCATAACAATGGTCTTTCGTTAAAGTCTTCTTTAGCTGGTATAAAGACGTATGCACGTGACTAATTTCTTACTCAAGATTGGATAATTGCTTCATGAATTATTAATGAGTTTTTGAAGATTATGAAAAAATTATACACCGAGTAATTAATGCACGACGCCATGCTACTGATTTGGATTGCCTCTTTTTTGGACACCCTGTATATAGAATTTATTTTTCAGACCTGCCAAGCTCGGCAGATATGAATGATTAAAAATGAATGATACAATAGTTTGATCGCAAATAATGCTCCTTCAGTAAATCTCAGACAGAATCTGTAAATTGATATCTGCAAATTTCCACAGATCGGATCGAATAAAGCTAAAACATGCACTGGACTGTTGGAAAACAAACGTCTTCTATGCCCCGGTCAAATGAGAACGAGAGTTTCAAGCTCTGGATTAACAAAATAAAAGTTTGATAAGTGTTCCAACTATGTTTTGACTTAAATAGAATACATGATAGTGTTGGGAAAGCATCGAGAGCAGCTAACAAAGGTGGCGTGTTTGCCAACTTTCATCCTAGTTTGATCTGGGCTTAGCCACACAATCTTCCAACTATCGAAGTGGAAATGCGTGACTTAAAGGTAATTTTAGGCATAATGCGTGACATTCACGCCCAATATGCGTCACTTGGCAATGTCGTTGTGGAGAAAGCGTTAAAGGTAATGCACTAGTCAATTGAAACCCCGGCCCCCCGACCCCCGGGAAAGAGCGGGGAAATTAACATTTTGACAATGTTAAACTTTGGTAATTTCCCCGCCACCGGGGGAATATTGACTGTTAAAGTTACCGCCCGTATGGCCCGGGACTTTGCAAATTTTCATGACTTGGGAAATGGGAAATCGTTGAAGTATAAAATGTTCACAACATGTCAAGGCAATTCTTGATCTTAAACTTTGATCCGCATCAAAAGATACTGAATAAGTCTACGTTTCGACTATTTTGCAGTCATCGATCATCAGGAAAGTGAAAATATATTCCTTTTTTTTAAGAAAAACTATGAGGAAACAATGATAAAACGGACAAAAGTTTATAAAATATCTTCTCTGACTTCGAAGATTCCGCCATGTTGCCACGACGATAAACACGTTCCAGTCCACTTCTTTCGTATCAGCCGTGCGTTAAAGTCCCGGCTATTGTCCCGGCTAATAAATTGACTTGTTATTTCCCCTGTACCCCGGGGAAAATGGTGCATTAAACCCGCGTTAATCCACGGCCATTCCCCCGTTAATTCCCCGCCCTGTCCCGGGGGTCGGGGGGCCGGGGTTTCAATTGACTAGTGCATAATGTTAGACACAATGCGCGACTCTCACGCCCAATATGCGTCACTTGGCAATGTCGTTGTGGAGAAAGCGTTAAAGGTAATTTTAGACATAATGCGCGACTCTCACGCCCAATGGCAATGAACGTCACTTGGCAATGTCGCTGTGGAGAAAGCGTTAAAGGTAATTTTAGACACAATGCGCGACTCTCACGCCCAGTATGCGTCACTTGCCAATATCGTTGTGGAGAAAGAGTTATAGGCAATTTTAGACACAATGCGCGACTCTCACGCCCAGTATGCGTCACTTGCCAATGTCGTTGTGGAGAAAGAGTTATAGGTAATTTTAGACATAATGCGCGATCTCACGCCCAATATGCGTCACTTGGCAGGTCTCATTTTCTGTGGTTTCCAATGTATCCTGCAAGAGCAGAGTTTGCTGCGGCTTTACGTGAGTATATCTTATATAGATGTCATCACATGCCTGTATTTCGCGCAATGATTATTTCAAAAAAAATTCAAACTTTAATCTTACATATGTCTCGGAGAGTTATATTATTATTAGAAATTTAAGTTTTAACCACTTCTGAAAGACGTGGTTATGCAAATATACAAAAATGATGATTTTTGATCATTCTAACATGCCCTGTCACGTTGCCTCGACGCGTCACGCATATCATATTGTCTCATGTTTAGGAAATTCGGAAAATGCGTACGGGTATAGTAGTTTTAATAAAGCTGACTCAGCTAAGTATCAAAAGTCATGCACGCGCGCCCAATTTGCTCGCAAAATGTCGTTGTTTAACATATTTTGCACCAATGACGCATATTTACTACAATTATAATATAAATGCAATCCAGCTGCAATATATGCAAATTACTTCCCATTTGATGTCTCGTTTGATGTCTGACTAGTATAAAAACATTCAAACTTCTGCTTAACAACTGAGGTGTTATAGAAGTCTTACCTGTCTGGAATGATGTGGAAAAGATGAAGAAAAGCAATAATTAAAACTGCCTTCATTTCCATAGTTTGCGCTGTGTTTGCGCTAAGAGCTTGCGCAGCTGTCGTTGAAGCGCCTGTGTTCAGCTGATATATTAATTCAAACCGACTACTACTGTAATAAGACATATTTGTTTATAGCATTCTTTAGAGTCACGTCTCTCTCCGGATATTGCGATTTAGTGTATTAAATTATTAAGAAGGTCACGAAAGTAAATATCGAGATTTTGTTGGCATCTCACTCGATTAAATAATAATAATTGAAGGGTCTGTAAATGGAAATTATTGAGTGGAAATTTATATACATTTATTAGAAAAATGCAACTTCAGGTCCCTGACAAGAATCGAATTTGTACAGTTTGAAAATCTTGGCATGGGCTTTATTTTCAGTTTAGTGGTCATTTTACAATGGCCTAGTCTTTTATGATACACCCTGTACACTTTTGAAACTAAATCTAGTGGTTTATATTATTACTATCGTAGGCGCGTGGGTTTGGAAATGGGGAATATATTCCTGTCTTCGTTCGTCTGCCCTTAGTGAATTTAGCCAAAATATTCGTTCTGAACCAAGGCAGAAGAACAAAGACAGGATGAGGATTCATGTCTCGCTGTTTTCTGGGCAGTGCCGTATCAAGCTCGATAAATGGGGGGGGGGGGGGCAGATATTCATATATTCGTGTTACAGACCATAAAACAATCGATTTAAAAGAAATTAATAACGTAGAACACGAATATATGAATATCGTCCCCCCTGATTCCCAATTATCAGCTTGCTACGGCACTGTTGGGTAAAGATTATATTACGGTCAGTATTCATAAACACACATAGATCTACAACGGGAAGACCAGATTGAGCTGCAACCACCTGCAGGGATCCCAAACTCAGTATGCGCAAAGATGCTGTGAAGAAGTCAGGCAATGCCGAAAGGCCATCCAATAGGGTTAGCTGAAAAGAAACGTGCAACAACGATGAATAATATTTAATGAAGTTGAGCCACAAAGGATTTGTGCATGGTGAGGAACAGTTCAACATCAAACAATATTATTAACAATTTTTTTTTATAAATTTATTACAATGAACTAATATAATAAATCTATGGCCATATAATAATATTGTACCAGCTAATTAGCTAACACCTAAACTAACTACAGTAACCATTTACGTGCTCAAGTGACATTCACATCAGATATACACTCATACATTTGAAATATTTCTAGATTAAGTAAATGCATGGAATATGTAAACTTACACAGACAGCGGCCTTAGAAGCCTTCTTACTTTACGAATTACAACTGATACACAGAACTTTAAACCAAATACCAACTTTATAGCGATAGAAACAACAACAATGGTCATGATGACAGATAATGGAGCGACTATAAGAATATTTTCAATCACATTCAACACAGGCAAACGGTTTGAAAAAGAAGAATAATCCTCACCGTAATAAAGAGCTTTTATTAAAGTCGAACCACACAGGACCACGTGTGTACCGAGCGAAAATGACTCCAGTACATTGTCGCTTTTTCTCTGAAAAGGATACACAATGGTGTGGAAGATTAGAATGGCAACACAGAGGATTAAAGCTAGAAAAAGTCTGAGCTGAATGTCGTAGACGAAAGTCAATACAATAATCAAGACCAATCTACGAAAGATAAGAAAACCTTCCCAAGGAATGTGTGAAGAAGGACAACAGATAAAAGCTTGGTGAGGTCTAAATGGACCCAACAAAACTTTGAGAACAGCTGATTCACTTCTCGTAGAAGTGGCTTCATTTCTATCAGTGCAAACAGCTGATTCACTTCTCGTAGAAGAGACTTCATTGCTATCAGTACAAACCGGGGATTCACTTCTCGTGTTGGTTTCATTCCTATCAGTGGAGGAGGTAAAGGTGATATCTTCACTACCAAGGCGTGGTGTTTCGTCATTAGCTGGTTCAGATCTTATTGCATCATCATTTTGTTCTATTGTGTTATATATTTCCTGATTACCACAACGACATCCCTTAAGCAACAAATACAACCAATAGCAGCAAAATGGCAAAGGAAAGATACAAGCTGCACAAAATTGCTTAACACCAATTCGACCAAACTTTAAAAGATACGAACCGAGGACAGGAACAAGACAAAATGGAAGTATAGAAGAAATCATGTAACCAAGAAGAAAATATTGAAATGTTTGGTAACATTTGACGTTACCATCAAGAAACAAGACTTGGTTGTCACCAACTGGTACACAGTGAAGAAGGGAAAGACAGAGTTGAGTGGACGAAGCATACATCAATAAAGAAATGTAAGTGAAGGCCGAAGCAATTCGTTGCAGCACCGATTTTGTAGCTCTATCGTTTTGATCGGACCTTGTTGTTGCAATATATTGCAACGTTGTTGCTCTACTACTATCACTTTTAGATCTCCTGAAAATCAGAAACAATTTGCTTATCAAATAAAGAAGAAAAAGAAGACCAAGAAGAGAGTGTCCTACCGAATGTAAAATGACCGCCTTAGGAACAGGACGAAGGTTTGCAAAAGGACAATTAAAAGATGGAAGGTTAACTAGAATCATATTCATTACCCTTGAAATAACATTCTCAAAATTATGAATGAATTTCCCTTTTCTAGAAAAACCCACGGAGCTTCTTAGCAAATTACAAACTTGATAGTAATAGAATAATATCTTAATCATCCCACTGCTTGAAGAGGTATTACCACCAGTGCTAACATTGTTTCTTTGCTTGTTTCTGTTGTTTATTGAGAACGATAAGCGCTTACTAAATAAACTTGTTCGAAGAATACCAACAATTTCTTTATGGTAAAGAAAGAAGACAAGATATAGAGCAAGCAGTGTAATTGTGCCAAGAATAAAGAAATAATTTAAGGAGCATTCTGTGTTTGATAAACATTGTGTGGAGAACAAACTCTCCGACATTCCGTCTGGACATTGACCACAAAGTGTACCAGATCTGTTTCCATGGCAACTATCATAGGTGACGCAATCTTCGGAGTCGCAGCAGTATCCTGGTGGACATTGAAGAAAGTGGACTTTCATCTTTGTTTTGTAACCCCAAAAGTTCGATTTGGCCGTCACCAGTCCACTGTCACAGTCCCCTCCTCGAGGACATTGCTGGCATTGAATGTCATTGCTTTTATTGAAAATTAACTTGCCTCTTTCGAGTGTGTACGTTTTCGTTGGACACTGCTCACATCGGACATTGATATAGTTACATATGATTCCTGTCTTTATTATTGTACATTGTCGTTGCACGTATAATTTGTATCCTTGCGGGCATAAGATCTTAAAATTCTTCCTCATTATCACCCCACTGCTCATTGCGCTTGGTATGCGAACAAAAACAGTCTGACTCTCCTTTAGGGCGACTAAATTAAACGTATTTTCGCCAGTAAAGCTAACCAGCCTATTTCCTGATGCAAAAAACTGATTGGACAGTACTTTAGTTTGCCGGTTTTCAAAATAGGAATTCAAAAAAGTAACAGTCGCTATTTCGGAAATTTTCACGACGCCTATGTAGGGATTTTGACCAGGCCCGTTGTCAAGGAAACGGCATGATGATACGAGGTTGTTACCTTTGCCGAAGTAAATTGCTGCCGCACCATTAGGTTTGAGCAGATCATAAATATTATTAACGAACGTGTTATTCTCATGAATTATTGTGGGAGACTTGCTGTCAGGAGGTCTACCCAAATAGTTGGTGGAAACCCAAAGTGCTAACGAATTATTCCTGAAAATGCTGTCTCGTATCATAACTTCTACTTTTGTGTAATTCCGATAACCTGCAATTAGTAACAGTGCAGGCACGTTATTGTAGTTATCTTCGATTAATAGATTGCTTAAAAATATGAATGTTTTGGTACGGAGCTGTGAGTTATGCTGTAAGTCGAAAATGAATAGCGTAGAAAAGTGACGATAGTGTCTGGAAATGCAAACTGCAAAATGATTTTTAAACTCTGAGTCTGTTACTGTAACATTGAATATAGTTGCAAATGGCTTTATCGCGAGCAGTGCGGCACATTTGTGAATATTTTTACCATTAAAGATCGTATTTCGAACTAAAATCTCTGTTTTTTGCCAGCTTGTTGGCGTATTTGCAATGTTAGCCAAGGACACGGGAGTAAATTCGAAGGTACTAGAGGTTATATGTGCAGTGAGATTAGAACATGCCAGATGAATTCCCGAGCTAAAATTATTCTCAAAACTTGAGTTGGTTATCAGAATGGAACAGTCAGTCGAATGTTTGCTGTAGATAGCATAGTCGTTATCCCTGACAAATATATTCTCATATACCAATTCCATCTTGGCTCCTTTGTCAATCTCAGTTACAACAGTTGAACCCGATATAACCAAGTTGAAGAATTTGATGCGTGTTATATTAAAACCTGGACTCATTATGATGAAAAACGTGCGGTAACGTTTGTTACACTGCAGTCCAGCTCTTCCATTGATGCCATGAAACGAAACAGATTTTGTCAATTCGATGGAGTATGTTGATCGTGTCACATTTTCGCATTCCATATAAGGTCTTCCTTGCGCATAATCAATATAAATTTTGTCCCCATCATTAGACATCTTCACTGCATGTCGCACAGTACGACATGGCGTAGTCCAGTTACCACAACTACTGAGATCATCGCCACGGTGGCTGACAAACAGCGAATTAGTCTTAACGTCCTGAATACCTACAATATTGATTCATTAAAACGGATGAAATCATTATGAATGAAATTATTTCAAGGATAGAATAATCGTCATCTGTTTAGAGTTATAACAAGACCTAAAGAATAATAAGCATTCGTGCTGATGATATTCATGCAAGTATATCATGTATCAATAATAGATGAGGTAAAAATCATTAAGGATTAACTCGAATATAGTATTAGTAAGGTTCCACTCACCACTATACCGCTACCATTAAGGGACTATTAACCAATTAGATGCGTCTAATCTATCCCATTGACCAATCAAATGTGTACTATAAGTCAGTGAAAGGTAGCGATAGTGGTAGTCAAATCCACAGTCCAAACCTCACTTTTGGCAACAAACACTGGCTGCTCAAATGTTTGCTACTGTAGTTCAACGTGATTCAACCTACCTTGAAAAAACAGAAATACTACAGCCAGTAGCCATAGATCAAGCATGGTGTGATATAACATGACGGAGAATGACGATTTCCAGTATATTAATTGAAATGAGGTAACGAAACTGTACAGTTGTTGACGAAGGCAAACAAATAGTTCAAATTAAAAGTGATTTTACATTTAATTAAAAGACGCAAGCAAGCGGAACATTTTATAATTTGCAATAGCTACTGATTTAATTCGTCAAGAAAGCAGGACTCTCATCACGCATGCAAAAGGAGGAAACGAAAGATCGATTTGATGACCTTTCGGGTTCGAAACCAAAGCAGAAGAGTTTTTCAAAATTTTTGTCTCTACTACTTTAAAGTCTAACGCTTGTGAGTTATGTCGAGGCTTACGTTGCATGCTTTACTGCTTCGCTGCATCTTTTTGTTATTATAAACAGAATAAAATTATCCTGTGAGTCATCATATACAGTAGATATTAAGATTAACGTGAGTACAACCCGTAGAAGTGCTTGCGTCACGCAATTTTCAATCCATCAAAACATTAGGTATACGCAATGCAATATGGGATACATGTGGGCAAAATACCCATTTTCTGACAGTAACAAGATGTAATGACTTCTAAGATCAATTGAAAGTTACTATTACCATACGTTATATTTTCAGAATTCCAACAGACTTTAGGACTACCATTTTATCATCTAGAATCCCAACAGATTTTAATTTAAAACTATTATTTTTCCATTTTATCATTACATAAAAGCTAGAAGCTATTGTTTGTACAGTTATAATCAGAAACGAACAGCATGATTGTCTTTCAGTTGTCGATTAATTGCCGGAAAAGATCACAATCTATTTACTTACAAATGTTAATTTTGTGAAGCAACTTTACAGGACTCTGGTCACGAATATAAGTTATGTTTTCATTGCAACGATTATTTTCTTTTTTACCACCACAAGACACATTATTAACATTTGTCTCTGGGACAACATTTCTTTTGGTCAACCTTGTAGCAAAGTGCTAGCGATGATTAAGTGCCAGAGCTAATTTAATTCCAGCACATATCTGCATATCTACACCATCGTTGAATCCCTGAAGAAAATTGCCAAGTTCCTCCGAACGAAAATTGCCTGCCATAAATTTTTTTATACACCCTGGTACACTCTTGAGACTAAATCCTGTGCTTTACATTATGATTACCATTGACGTGTGGTTTGGAAATGGGGAACATATGTAGTCGGAGGCGTACGTGACTATTTTTGCCTTCTGCACATTATCTTGCGCATACTGAATTTGTATGGGGTCACTGGTGGTTGCTCAACGTGTCTTCCCGTTATAGATTTATGTCTCGCTGTTTATGAATACTGGCCGTAATCCTTACCCTGACATGAAGAGCAAGACATGAAATTATACCCTGTCTTTCTCCTTATGCCTTAGAGAATGCGGCCAAAATATTCGTTCTGAACCGAGGTAGAAGAGGAAAAACAGAATCTGGATTCATGTCTCACTGATTTTGGGTATAAGGATTATATTAGGATCAGTATTCATAAACAACGACACATGAATCTATAACGGGAAAACACCTGCAGTGATCCTAAACTCAGTATGCGCAATATACTGTGAAGAAGTCAGATAAGAATTGTCAAGAATATCTTGTCTTCGACAGATTCATTGACTTGCTCAAACCGCAGTCGATAACGATACGATGGTTCGGAAACTTAACAGAAGTCATTGTATTATTTTTTGACTGACTTTATGTTAATTTGCCGGTGCACGGTCACAGTAATGAGCTCATTGTATTTTCGTATAATGAAGTAATCGTCCAATAGGGATAGCTGAGATGAAACGAGCAACCACGATGAATAATATTTAATGAAGCTGAGACAAAGGATTTGTGCACAGTGAGGTACAGTTCAACATCAAACAATATTATTGACAATTTGTTTTACAAATTAATTACAATGAACTGATATAATAGATCTATGACCATATAATAATATCTTCCCAGCTAATCAGTATCTAACACCCAACTAACTATAGCAACCAATTACGTTCTTAAGTAACATTAACACCAGATATACAGTCATGCATTTGGAATATTTATGTACTATTTAAAGCAGGCGTAGGAGTGTTTTATCACATATAAAATACGACGCGTAGCGGAGTGTTTTATATGTGATAAACACGACTATAACTGAGTGCTTTAAATGGCTTCAAAAACGACTCATCTTATACGAGTTCATTGGCGAAGTAATTTTTAAAATAAACTTTGTCTAAACCGAGAAAATCAAAGCTAAAGTTTATGTAAATTAACATGATTTTTTATCACATATAAAACCACGACACGCTTATGATTTTCTTTATGTTTTCCTCCTGAATTATTAATGAGTTTTTGAAAGATTAAGTAAATGCATGGAATATGTAAACTTACACAGACAGCGGCCTTAGAAGCCTTCTTCCTTTCCGAATTACAACTGATGCACAGAGCTTTAAACCAAGTACCAACTTTATAGCGATAGAAACAATAACAACGATCACGATGACAGACAATGGAGCGACTATAAGAATATTTTCAATCACATTCAACAAAGGCAAACGGTTTGAAAAAGAAGAATAATCTTCCCCGTAATAAAGAGCTTTTATTAAAGTCGAACCACACAGGACCACGTGTGTACCGAGAGAAAAAGATTCCAGTACATTGTCACTTTTTCTCTGAAAAGGATACACAAACATATGGAAGATTAGAATGGCAACACACAGGATTAAAGCTAGAAAAAGTCTGATCTGAATGTCGTAGACGAAAGTCAATACAATAATCAAGACCAATCTACGAAAGATAAGAAAACCTTCCCAAGGAATATGTGAAGAAGGAAAACACATGAAAGCTTGATGAGGTCTAAATGGACCCAACAACACACTGAGAACAGCTGATTCACTTCTCGCAGAAGTGGCTACATTGCTATCTGTACAAACAGGGGATTCACTTCTCGTAGAAGTGGTTTCATTCCCATCAGTGGAGGAGCTAAAGGTAATTTCTTCACTATCAAGGCGTTGTGTTTCGTCATTACCTTGTTCAGATCTTATTGCATCATCATTTTGTTCTATTGTGTTGTACGATCCCTGATTACCACAACGACAGTCCTTAAGCAACAAATACAACCAATAGCAGCAAAATGGCAAAGGAAAGATACAAGCCGCACAAAATTGCTTAACACCAATTCGACCAAACTTTAAAAGATACGAACCGAGGACAGGAACAAGACAAAATGGAAGTATGGAAGAAATCATGTAAGCAAGAAGAAAATATTGAAATGTTTGGTAACATTTGACGTTACCATCAAGAAACAAAATTTTGTTGTCACCAACTGGTACACAGTGAAGAAGGGAAAGACAGAGTTGAGTGGACGAAGCATACATCAATAAAGAAATGTAAGTGAAGGCCGAAGCAATTCGTTGCGATACCGATTTTGTAGCTCCATCATTTTGATTGGACCTTGTTGTTGCAATATATTGCAACGTCGTTGGTCTATTACTATGATTTTCAGATCTCCTGAAAATCAGAAACAACTTGCTTATCAAATAAAGAAGACAAAGAAGAGCGAGAAGAGAGTATCCTACCGAATGTAAGATGATCGCCTTAAGAACAGGACGAAGGTTTGCGAAAGGACAATTAAAAGATGGAAGGTTAACTAGAATCATATTCATTACCCTTGAAATAACATTCTCAAAATTATGAATAAATTGCCCTTTTCTCGAAAAACCCACGGAACTTTTTAACAAATTACAAACTTGATAATAATAGAATAATATCTTAATCACCCCACCGGGTGAAGAGGTATTACCACTGGTGCTAACATGGTTTCTTTGCTCGTTTCCGTTGTTTATTGAGAACGATAAGCGCTTACTAAATAAACTTGTTCGAAGAATGCTCACAATTTCTTTATGGTAAAGAAAGAAGATAAGATATAGAGCAAGCATTGCAATTGTGCCAAGAATAAAAAAGAAATTTAAGTAGCATTCTGTGTTTGATATACATTGTGTGGAAAACAAACTCTGCGACATTCCTTCTGGACATTGACCACAAAGTGTACCAGATCTAGTTCCATGGCAACCATTATAGGTGACGCAATCATCGGTGTGGCAGCAGTATATCCTGGTGGACATTGAACAAAATTGACTTTCATCTTTGTTTTGTAACCCCAAAAGTTCGATTTGGCTGTGACCAGTCCACTGTCACAGTCCCCTCCTCGGGGACATTGCTGGCATTGGATGTCATTGCTTTTATTGAAAACGAATTTGCCTCTTTCGAGTGTGTAGGTTTTCGTTGGACACTGTTCACATTGGACATTGATATATACACATTTTACGATTCCTTCCTTTCTAACTGTACACAGTCGTTGCGCGTTTAATTTGTATCCTTGCGGACATAGGATCTTAAAATTATTCTTCATAATCACTCCACTGTTCGTTAAATGCCTAGAGGTTGATATGCCAACAAAAACGGCCTGTTTCTCCTTTAAGGCGACTAAATTAAATGTATTTTCGCCAGCAAAATTAATCAGTTTATGGCCCTGTTGCAAAAAACTGATTGGACAGTACTTTAGTTTGCTTGTTCTCAAAATACGAATTCATAAAAGTGACTTTCGCATTTTCGGAAATTTTCACCACGCTTGTGTAGGGATTTTTACTAGCCCCGTTGTCAAGGAAACGGCATGAAGATACGAAGCTTTTCCCATAGCCGAAGTGAATTGCTGCTGCAACATCAGGTTTGAGCAGATCATAGATATTATTAACGAACGTGTTATTTTCATGATGTATTGTGGGATGCTTGCTGTGGGCATGTCTACCACCAAAATAGTTGGTGTAAACCCAAAGTGCTAACGAATTATTCCTGAAAATGCTGTCTCGAATCATAACATTCACTTCAGTGTAATCCAGAAAACCTGCATTTAGTGACAGTGCAGGCGAGTTAATGTAGTTATTTTCGATTAATAGATTGCTTAAAAATATGAATGTTATGTTACGGGGCCGTGAGTTATGGTCGTATATGCATA